CCACCAGAGCTCCCTGACACACTACAAAAAACTAACCCATCACCATCTAGTTGATTCCGACTCATAGTGACCCTACAGGACAGAGTAGAACTGCCCCACAGGGTTTCTAAGGAGTGGCTGGTGGATCTGAACTGGCGACGTTTTGGTCAGCAGCCTGTGCTCTTAACCACTGTGCCACCAGGACTCCCTGACATGCTATCCAAAAAAAAAAAAAAAAAAAAAAAAAACCAAACCCGTTGCTGCCCAGACAGTTCCTACTGATAGCAACCCTGACACACTAAGCATTACTAACTGCCTTGGTCAGTGCACCTAGAGCCTCTCCACCACTGGGCATGGGCCCTGAGCAGAGAGGTGGGTTCTGTCATATCTTCAAAAGGGTTGAAAAGCACTGAAATGAAGCATTAGGCATATGACACCTCAAGTTTTTTCTTTCTTCTCCCTGTTTTTATGAGGTCTTAATCCTAAAACTGCCTTTAGAAGTTTTTCAAAGGCCTTTGAACAACAGCTTGTTCCCAACTTTAATTCAACTCTAGTATTTACTTCTTGTTGACTCTGTTCCTTTTGTAAAGAAAATCACAACAGTCCTAAATTAAGAGCTGCTTTATAAAAATCACAATCTGTTTGCCCATTTTTAGAACCAACCTCTCAATCATTCTGTTTCTGGAAACAATGCTACTTTCAGTTTTAAAAGCATTGGTTAGGTCAAATGAAAGCATTCTAACATGGCCTCACTGTATTGTGGGACAAATGACAGGAATGCTTTAATATGAGAACTAAGTCATGGGAAAACACAAACTAGTATTAGAGAACAGTTAAAAGAATTTCATCCTTTGAAAGGTCACATCATTCATTCATTTCTTCGTTTATTCAATAAAATATCGTGGAACTACTGGGTGAAAAGCCATGGGGAATAAAAACATGGTTTCTCTAATGATCTAACAAAGGAATTATTAATTTTGATAACTATAGGCATATATATAAGTTCTAAAAACAGCTTGACATTTGGCTCTCATTCCAAACATAAACATGTTAAAGACAAATTAAGCAGCTTCCTCAAATCTGAAAACAGGGCACAAAGTGAAAATGCTCTGGGAGGTAGGGAGAGTGTCAGTATTTCAAGAACCCCCATTTGATTTAGTAGTGATTTCACTCATGTATCAGTTAAACAGAAATGTCAGCCCTTTGATGTCTGTGGTTATAAATAAAGAGAAATAAAGATGTCTCAAAAGCATAATTCTCTGTGGCTTGAGGTGCCAGCAAAACAAACTCCCTTTTGAAAAAGGTGTGAACAATCTTTCCATCTTTCACTGATCTTATAACAAGTCAACAGCATTTTTTAACTCATCAGAATTTTCAGTTTTCAAAGAGAAATACCACTAACAATTTGACCTGGAGATTTTCTTAAAATTTTGAGACACAGTTTATTTCTAAGGTTACCAATGGGTTGCATTAGGCCCACAAGAGCTACATGAGCTGCAGCTGCAGGAAGTCCTCTCAGTTGTTACCCCTGAAGCTGGGCAACTCCTCTGTGCTTCCTCCCATTCACGAATGTTTAGTCAGTATATTCGTGGCAGTTATTACTGATTCAGATGAGAATGAACTTTTTATTACTAATTTCTGATTTGTGAATGGATATAGGAACATTACAAATAGCTAAGTTTCTGGAATACAGAATGTCCATTTTAATGGCAATAACAGTATGTCCTCCTTCAGTGTCAATAAATAATTCTGAATAAATTTTAGTATAAACCAGTTGTCCTGGAGTCAATTCCAACTATAAGAAGTGAGAGACAGGCTTTGATATTTTCTAAGCCAAAAAAGTTAACGTATCTAACAAAATATACATTGCTCTAAGTGTGTTCTAATCATGATGATAGCTACAGATAAACACAATATTTCATGAAAAAATAAAAATAAAAAGGGAAATGCTAGTTAATTCATCATCTGTCACAGCACTAAAATCATCAAAAGCGTTTCCCAACATTTGATATGGCTAATTTTATCAGTTAAGGGATAAAGACAGACCTTTAAATACAGGATTAAAACAACAGTCAATGTGTAAGCTGTCACTCTTCCTCCTTACTACTCAGTCAGGTTTCAGACTATATTCAAAGGTATTCTGAGGGTGCTCTCAGATCCAACGGGGTCACAAAAGGTTACTGGGACATGTGCCTCCTGACACTCAGTTCTTGATCAGCTTACTGAGATTCCAACAAAGATTTTGCAAGTTTCATTCAAGGTACACTGACTTCAGACATTCAAATACTATTATTCATCAAGCTTGTGTGAGTTTTTGTCTAAATAGAAAGTACCTGTCAAGGACTGAATTGTGTCCCCCCAAAAATGTATGTGTCAACTTGGTTAGGCCATGATTCCCAGTATTGTGTGGCTGTCCTCCATTTTGTGATTGTAATTTTATGTTAAAAACGATTAGGGTGGGACTGTAACACCCTTACCCAGGTCACATCCCTGATCCAATGTAAAGGGAGTTTCCCTGGGGTGTGGCCTGCACCGCCTTTTATCTCTCAAGAGATAAAAAGAAGCAAGCAGAGAGGGGGCAACTCACACCACCAACAAAGCAGTGCCTGGAGCAGAGCGTGTCCTTTGGACCCGGGGTCCCTGAGTGGAGAAGCTCCTAGTCTGGGGAACATTGATAAGAAGGCCGACAGAGAGAGAAAGCCTTCCCCTGGAGCTGATGCCCTTAATTTGGACTCTTAACCTACTTTACTGTGAAGAAATAAATTTCTTTGTTAAAGCCATCCACTTGTGATATTTCTGTTATAGGAGCACTAGATAACTAAGACAGAACCTAAAGAAAAAACATCTTTATCTGTAAAATGCAACTTTGTGATAAAATTATCCACATTTCTATATTTTGTTCACTGATGTATACTTTCTGTGCAATGATACAAAGAAAGCCTGAATCAGGGTGCTAGGGCCTTTTCCCACCTCAATTTCAGATCTCAAACAAGCATATACACCACCTCCTCTGGAAACATTCTCTGATTCCTGCGAGCCTGTTCCCCTCTCAGAATTCTCAGAGCAAGTTACTTATGCCATTTTTAAAGTATGGATTTCCTTTCTGCCTTTTATTTTGTACATGTGCCTTATATATGGACTAAGTTATAAGAAGCTGGGAGGGGTAGGTAGGAGGAATCGCTCTCTAGATAGTAGACACTTGTTATTTTGCGTGATGGGTAAGGCAATACCAAATGTGGCTGAGGTGTGCACAGCTTGACCAAGGTGACTGATGACACTACGAAGTACACAAGAACAAGGGATGATTCTGGTAAATGCTATAACACACCCAATTTTGCAACAACAGCAATAACAACCGAAAAATATGGGTGTGGTTACACAGGTAGATATGTATGCATGTATGTGTATAGGAAGGTATACGCGTGTATATACGGGTGCAAATACAGGTGTATCTGTTGGCATATATATACATATGTATGTATGTTTGTGCTGCATAAACAAACAAACAAACAAACAAAAAAACTGTTGTTGTGGAGTCGATTCTGACTCATAGCAGCCGTACAGGACAGAGTAAAACTGCCCCATAGGGTTTCCAAGGAGCAGCTGGTGGATTCCAACTGCCAACCATTTTGGTTAGCAGTCAAGCTCTTAACCACTGTGCCATCGAGGCTCCTTGTGCTGCATATACATTCATATATACAATAAAGCACATAGGGGGCACAGTTACAAATGCTTCCTAGATATAACCAAATACCTCATGGGATTGGTTTACTGGATTTGAAGGCTTAGGCTCATACCCTTGTGGGACAACACAGTCAATCAACATAGCATAGCTCATAAATATAATGTGCTATATCCTAGTTTGATGAGTAGCATCTGGAATCTTAAAAGCTCGTGGAGAGGCCATAAGATACAACTAATGGTTTCTACATGTCTGGAACAAAAGAGAAAGAGGGAAACTAAAGACTTAAAGAAGAAACTAGTCCAAAGAACTAACAGCTTACATGAACGATGATCTCATCTATCCTAAGACCAGAAGAACTAGATGATGTCCAGCTACCACTACTGACCGTTCTGACCAGGGACATAACAGATAGTCCGAGGCAGAATGAGACAAAAATGTAGAACAACTCAAATTCTTAAAAAAAAAGGCCAAATTTACTGGACTAGTAGAGATTAAAGGAACCCCAGAGACTACTGCCCTGAGATATCCTTTAAACTTTGTTCTAATACCACACCCAGAGTTCACTTTTCAGATAAGTAACAGACTGGCTCATAAAATAAACAATATCATCTGTGAGTACTGTGCTCCTTTAAAAAATCATCTATATGAGATCTAACTGTTAACATTTACCCTAAAGCAAAGATGAGAAGGTCAGGGAGAGCAGGGAAGCTAGACTAATAGAAACAGAACAACCAGAACAGAAATATTAAGAATGTTGATACATTGTGAAAAATATAACCAACGTCACTGAATCATATGTATAGAAATTGTTAAATGGGAACCTAATTTGCTGTGTAAACTTTTACCAAAAACAAACAAAATTTTAATTAAAAAAGTCACAAGCTTCTCATGTATAGAGATTATCTACCCATTGCCGTCAAGCTGATTCCGACTCATAGTAACCCTATAAGATAGAGTAGAACTGCCCCATAAGGTTTCCAAGGAGCAGCCTGGTGGATTAGAAGAGCCAACCTTTTGGTTAGCAGCCAAGCTCGTAACCACTGCACCATCAGGGCTCCCAGAGACTATCTAAGTCACCCTATTTAAGTCAGTGAATCCTTGCTAAAAGAATGCTGTATAAACTGGTATCTGTTTTGCAATATCATAAAACTATTCAGTTATAAAATGTTGAGGCATACTTCTGGTGCTTAAACAGAAAAACCACTAATCAAAACAAGTAAAAACACTTAAGCATGTTACCAAAACACAAAAGTATAAAATCTACATGTGTAAAGGAAGGCAGGACTAGGTCACTCTTCAAAGATATATCCAAACAATAAGAACAATTTTTGCTTACTTGTCTCCAAAAAACTTTCTCCAAAATTCAGCCGCATCTGCTTTTGTGATACGAAAGTTATCTCCCTGGAATTGACCGTTGGGAAAGATTGCTTTGATTTCTGCCAGCATATGACTGAAGATGAGGGAGAGTTTTGTGAGATTTCTTCTGTAGACATAAGGGGGAAAAATGAAGGGAAAAATTCAATATACATATGCATATAATTTTTAACATGAATGGATATTAAGAAAAATAAAATTATGCACAGTATGTACCCACCTATGTGTTGGTGGTCACCACATGACCTCAACTTAGTAATGCCCCTAAACACTGTTCATAAAAACAATGTACATTCACATTTCTAACAGATTATCATTTTATTATCCATCCATGTATTCATTTAATACAGGCAAACACAAGATAAATTATGTGATGGCATTGATTTCACTGTCTAATGGGAGACATGTATACCTGTAAAAAATCATAATTGAATATATGTGCTAAACACAAAAGATGGAGGGACTCATGGAGTGCCTAACTCTACTGGGGGGAGTAAAGAGCAATTTGCCATCAGAGGAGAATCTAGAAAGCTAAGTAGTTGTTTGCGAGATGAAAGATCAGAGGAGAATCTAGAAAGCTAAGTAGTTGTTTGCGAGATGAAAGATCGGGAAAGGAGGTGACGGAGGTAAGGGGAGGCAAAGGTATTTCAAGCTGTAGGAACAGCATGTACAAAGGTATAGATGTATGAAACAGAACTAAGTATTTGTATAATATCTAACTTGACATGGCTAGGGCAGAGGGGACGGTGACAAGAGGAAAGGACATGAGACAGGATGCAAAAGTTTGGTTGGGACAGGACATAAAGAGACATCTGAATCAACAGGTAAAGTTTTACCAAATATACTTGCCAGTCCTCCTAAAAATTAGATTTTCTGATGATAGGTTCTAGACATGGGCAAACTTTGGAAGCAACCTGCCCTATGTGAACGTGTTTCTCTGGTTAAGAGCTACTATTACTCCACTGGGAGTCGAATGGATTAAAAAGAGTAGAGACATGATCAAATCTCTATTTTACGAAGAAAAGGTTGTAACAATATGCTAAATGGTTCAGAAGTGAGGGAAAGGCAGATGTCCCCTCTATTTTAATTTCCATCTAAAGTTCTGGGGATTCTGACATTATTTAAAATATGATTCAGAATTCAAAATAGTATATCACTCCAGTCATTCAAATCATTCTGTAAGTTTACAACATTAATTACGTTAATCAGCCAAAACTGCTAGTGCTAGACCCTAAAGAAGGAGCAGTGGTGACACAGTGGTTAAGAGCTCGGCTGCTAACTGAAAGGTCAGTGGTTTGAATCCACCAGCTGCTCAGTAGGAGAAAGATGTGGCAGTCTGCTTCCATAAAGATTTATAGCCTTGGAAATCCTATGGGGCAGTTCTACTCTGTCGGATGGGTCACTATGAGTCGGAATAGATCTACGGCAAGAGTTTAGACACTAAAGAAACAACTGAAACAAAAACTTCTAAAGAAACTGGCCTTTTTTAAACTGACCTTGCTTTAAATTCCTGTTTACTCAGAATCATGTAACTCAATAAACCAAACCCGCTACCCTAGAGTCAATTCTGACTCATAGCGACCCTAAAGGACAGAGTAGACCTACCTCACAGGGTGTCCAAAGAGTGGTTGGTGAATTTGAAATGTCGACCTTTTGGTTAGCAGCCAAGCTCTTAACCACTGTGCTACCAGGGCTCCTATAACTCAACCAGTACATTAATATTTCCACTCTGAGGCTTCAGCTGCCTTTTTTTTGGGGGGGGGGGCTGGGGGAGGATAGGTGGGGCAATCACTTAGGAGATCAAAAAAAATACAAAGGAAAATTAACATAGGAAAACCCAGCAAGTGTGCAATGAATATGAAACTGTGGCATTTCAACAAACTTTTAACGCTGAAGGATATAGTTCATTTTCCCATTTTTTTCTGGTGTACTTTTGTTTAATTACTCTCAAATAACACATACGCACAAATAGAAACCCATCTGGAACCAAAAAGACCATATACAATGTACCTGTCAATAAGGTCAATGGGTGTGTTCACTCTTTTTAATACATTTACGAAGGAAATCTATAATCTATCATTTCCTAAATAAGATGAATACAGAATAAAGGAAGGTATTCACGATAAAAAGTGGGAAAGACAGAAGGAAAGCAACAAAGTACCAAGTATTTTATATCTCAATAAATTCACTATTTGAAAAACAAATGTCTTATTTCCATAACCTGTGTTTTCTATGATAAGATATAGAAAAAGGGGGTCAGCACTTAAGCCCTTATTTTAGTGTTTGAAAAGCAATAATAAATAATTTGCAAAACTGTTATGGTTATACATGATGTTTCATTATTTTAAGATTCATCTGCACTTCTATACAACTCAACCTGATCCAAGTGTAAAAGTCCTGTCATAGTTGAGTTTGTGTTACTGACCTGATCTTCCAATTTATGTCAATACATCCTCATTTAAATGATGGTAGACATAAGACATTCAGTATGAGGAAATGACAAGTGAACTGTTACTTATGTTAAAGGAGAGACTTTTGGCCAAAGGCAAAACGCAACTCACTTCTGAGATTTGAGTATAAGGAAGAGCATAAAGTTACTTTAGGAAATCTGCATTGCATTTAATTCCTCTAATTAGGCTAAAAGCTTAATTTTTCACCAAATGTCCAATTTATACATACAAAGGAAAACAAAAAATCAAGATGGCTATAATCAGGGTGAGCCAACTGTTCTTTATTTTCTGAACTGATTGCTCTGTCCCCTCGTTTCTTTGTTCTTTAATCACATCCAAATTTTTTTCACTTTTACTTGTTAGATCTGTAAGTCTGAAGCACAGTGCCAATGATTAACCATATTGGATGGCTGATCCACTGGGTCTGAAAGATTCAACTTTAAAAACAGAAACAGTAACATTTTATCTTTATAATATAGGGCCTAGAAGCACTAGTAAACATTAGTAACTATATAACCAATTCACTATTTAATTATAAACTGTGATTATAGTTCCATTTTCTTGTTATTGTAAATGATCACCATATTTTTGTCTTTTTGCATAAGCCAAAGCAATGAAAAAATATATTTTGCATTTAGTTTTTAAAGAAACTAAATTCATGTTTTAAAAATATTTGAATGCATCCATTCTATATTATCTTATTATTCACATATACTTGGATATGTATTTATATTGATAGTATATTTATTTTACATTTAATTTATATGTATAGTAGTTGAGAGCTCGGCTGCTAACCAAGTGGTCGGCAGTTCGAATCCACCAGCTGCTCCTTAGAAACCCTATGGGCTGCTCCTAGGAAACCCTGTGGGGTAGTTTTACTCTGTCTTATAGGGTTACTATGAGTCAGAAACGACTCGACAGCAAAGGGTCATACATATATATGTAAATAATTATTCTGGAAATCTATTATTTAGAACATTGACTTAGGTTGCAATCCACACCAAGACATGAAAAGACTTGACAGCTAATTCTACTATCTGATGTCATTTTAATTTATTATCATAGTAAAAAGATTTTCTCTTTTCTATTACTGTCTACTGTTCCTTTTGTTTTCTATATGTTGTTATCCAGTATATATTTTCTTTAATTTCCACCCTACTCTGTACTCAATTTGGAAAATAAAATCCAAGAATACAGTCATTCTAACCATCTAGACATAGGAGGGAAAAGAGGCAACAACTATACATCGTCTTTGCAGATGAAATGTATTTTCCTATTATGAAAATTTACCATGCTTAGCCAATTTTTCCCAGACCCACTAGTTAGGATTTTCCCTCACTTCAAGGTCAAAATGATGACTCTTTAATAAAGGATTTGATGCTCACTAATTAAGAATATATTTCTCTTACTAAAACTCCTCTATCCCAAAACAACTAAGGAAATAAGAGTTTGTCCACAAAGATTCAGTAAAATATAACTTTAATTTTATGTGGAATTTTGCAGCATTACTTCTTTCACTGATAAGATATACTGTATTTAAACAATTTATTATTATGAACCTTCCATTAAGCATCACAATATAAGCTATTTTTTAATATGTTTTGTGTGAGATTTTGTTTATAAGAAATAATTTGAGAATAGAAGTCTCTCAAAATATCAGGAAATCAAAAGTACCTTCTAGATGTCAATCTCAGGTAAACTAGTAATAATGTTAACATTAGAGGATCCTTGAAAAAGGAGGAGGGAGGAGAAAACACATGGGAGAAGGGAAGGAAAAGAAAGAAAACCAGCTAGA